ATATATATATATATATATATATATATATGAATAAATGTATGTATATGTTTGAAATGTTGTTCTATATTTTCAGAAAATATGAGAACGTCATCAATATAAACAATAATGAAATTTGAAAAATGATTGAAAATATTATTCATAATTTTTTGAAATTCAGAGGAAGCATTTTTTAGACCGAATGGCATGACATTCCATTTGTATTGTCCCGAAGGGACATTGAAAGCAGTCTTGTATCTATCTTCTTCTTTAATTTGAATTTGCCAGAAACCTGACTCCATATCGAATTTTGAGAAGATAACAGCTTCGTAAAGACGATTCAAAAGATCTTTCTTTTGAGGAATGAGATATCCAATCCATTGAAAAACTTCCCGTTCAATTTCAGCAGAATTATTGACATAGAAAGCTGAACAGCTCCATGGAGATTTACTTGGTCGAATTAAACCTTTCTCAAGCAAATCATTAATTTCTTTAATACAAAAATCAAGTAACTCTTTGTTCATTTGAATATGACAAGATTTTGTAGGAATATTTAATTCATGAAAATCAAAATTGTACGGAAGAGAAACAACATGTTTCTTTCTATCTCAGAAGGCATTTGGAATAGTTGAACAAATTTCTTTTTCAATTTTATTTTGAAGTTCCGAAATTTTCTCTTGAAGAAAAGATTCTTGTAATCTTTTTTCTATTTTTTGAAATTGAATTTCTTCTTTAAGAAATTGAATATGATTTCTTTTTAAATTAATATTATTGATAATTTTTGAAATTGCAGCTTCTTTTAAAGAATTGATATCTTTATAAGAAGGAGGATTTGTAAATTTAAAAAATATTTTTTGACCAAAAACTTTTGTAGTTAATCCTTTATAATCGACTTTAAAAGGATAAATTTGAACAATAAAATGTGTACCAAGAATAATTTCTTGATCTATATCTTTTACAAGATAAAAAATATTTTTGAAAATAATATTTGAATTACAAACATGAGCTTTTGAAATTTTATAATTAATATTAAGCTTTTTTCCATTAGCACCATAAAGACGCTCAGTAGTTTTCTCAAAGTATTTTGTAGG